ATATAAATCCGATTAAAAAGAAAGTATATTGAAAAAAAAGAAGCGAGAGAGAAAAAAGGCGGGAAACCAAACACGGTGAAGATAAACAGGTCCAGATTGACATTAACGAACAGGATAATAAAAGGAAAAAAAATAGATAAACGAAAAACGGAAAGCATAATAACAAAAACAAAAATGAAAAGATATGAATCCGATTAAAAAGAAAGTATATTGAAAAAAAGGAGCGAGAGAGAAAAAAAGGCGGGAAACCAAACACGGTGAAGATAAACAGGTCCAGATTGACATTAACGAACAGGATAATAAAATGAAAAAAATAAGATAAACGAAAAACGGAAAGCATGATAAAAAAAATCTTATATACATATGGAGAGAAAGAAAGCGAAGAGAAAAGAATCAAATGATAAAAAAAAAAATATTAAAAGAAGAGAGCAAAAATAGAAGCAAAGAAAGTAGAATCGGAAGATAAGAAAAAATGATAAATAAAAGAAAAACATACGCAGAGAAAGAAAGAAAGAGAGAGAAAAAGAGAATGACAAAAGTATAAAAAACGAAAAGAAAAAAAAATCCCAGATATACGAAGAGAAAGAAAAATACGAAGAGTTAAAAATCCGCTTAAAAAGAAAGAATATTAAAAAAACAAAACAAAAGAAAGAAGCGAGAGAGAAGAAGAAGGAAAAAAAAGGCGGGAAACCAAACACGGTGAAGATAAACACGTCGAGATTGACATTGACGAACAGGATAAGAAAATGAAAAAAAAAGATAATAAACGAAAGAGTAATAAAAAAGTAAGAGGAAAAAAACAAAGAACAGAGAAGAAAAATAAATCTCGTCGAGAATAGGATGTGTATATAAAAAAAAAAAAAAAGAAAAAATAAAGAAAATAGAAGACTAGCCGTTGTTTGGGTGGGGCCCTCATGACGTCACGGACGCATTACAGAGCTATACCAAAGGTGCGGTTTAGGTCCAAAATCCTATTTGTTTCCATGCTATCTTCGCCCTTAAGGAAGAGAATCCGATGTTCCTTCGATGCTCCGACAGGGCGTTCAACACACGGTGAATGGAGAGCAAGAAAGTGGAAACGCATCCGGAGCCATAAGGGCGAAAATCCCGTTCAAAGCCAATAGACCTTCGACTCTAAGGCAGCCAGTCGCGCGAGTTCGACAACAGCCTGAAAATACACATCAGCGGAGGGAGGGGCAGAGAGTGCTAAGCGACGATGATGCCATTAGGGTGAAAGTTATAATAAAGTATGCATGATTTAACGCTTTAAGGTGAGTGAGCCATTGTTAGTCACCTAGAAACCACACCTTCCTTATTCTCTCTTTGTTGGCTTGTTTTCTTGCTGTGGATGTGCGTCGGAAAGAAGAGAAGAGAGAGAGAGAGAGAGAGAGAGAGAGAGAGAGAGAGAGAGAGAGAGAGAGAGAAGAGAGAGAGAGAGAGAGAGAGAGAGAGAGAGAGAGGGGAGATAGAGGTGGGGCAGGAGGAGGAGGAGGAGAGGAGGAGAGAGGAGAGGAGAGGAGGAGGAGGAGGAGGAGGGAGAGGAGGAGGGAGGAGGAGGAGGAGGAGGAGGAGGAGGAGGAGGAGGAGGAGAGGAGGAGAAGAGAGAAGAAGGAAGAAGAAGAAGAAGAAGAGAAGAAGAAGAAGAAGAAGAAGAAGAAGAAGAGAAGAAGAAGAAGAAGAAGAAGAAGAAGAAGAAGAAGAAGAAGAAGAAGAAGAAGAAGAGGAAGAAGAGGAGAGAGAGAGAGAGAGAGAGAGAGAGAGAGAGAGAGAGAGAGAGAGAGAGAGAGAGAGAGGAGAGAGAGAGAGAGAGAGAGAGAGAGAGAGAGAGAGACAGAGATAGAGATAGAGATAGAGATAGAGATAGATAGATAGATAGAGATAGATAGATAGATAGATAGATAGATAGAGAGAGAGAGAGAGAAGGGAAAATGGATAGCCAGAAATGAATAAGGATAGGCCAGGGTAAATCATTTAAACTTTTTAACTTGGGAAATTTGAATAATTTTTAAACCAATAAAGTTAATGCCAATAGACTAGTATCTAATATGTAGAAAGTTTCAGAGAGAGAGAGAGAGAGAGAGAGAGAGAGAGAGAGAGAGAGAGAGAGAGAGAGAGAGAGAGAGAGAGAGAGAGAGAGAGAGAGAGAGAGAGAGAGAGAGAGAAGAGAGAGAGACGAATACACTTCATTAAAGAGTTTGTCGGTACAATAATTTTCCAAATTAATCAAATAACTACACTTTAATAATACTCATGAAGTAAAGGATAGGACAAGAATATCACTGTTTTAAAGAAATCGGTTTTAAATATGCATATAATGTCTATTTAAATACATACCGAAGTCTGTCTGTCTGTCTTTTAACTGCATATCTATGTATCTCTTTCTCTCTCTCTCTCTATGTATCTAACTCCTTTCTCTCTGTCTCTCTCCCTCTTTATCTATCTATTTCCTTTCTCTCTCTCTCTCTCTCCTTTTCTATCCTCTCTCTTTCTCTCTCCTCCCTCTCTCTGTCTGTCTGTCTATCTCTCTCTCTCTCTCTCTCTCTCTCTCTCTCTCTCTCTCTCTCTCTCTCTCTCTCTCATCTCTCTCTCTCTCTTTCTCTCTCTCTCTCTCTCTCTCTCTCTCTCTCTCTCTCTCTCTCTCTCTCTCTCTCTCTCTCTCTCTCTCTCTCTCTCTCTCTCTCTCTCTCTCTCTCTCTCTCTTCTCTCTCTCTCTCTCTCTCTCTCTCTCTCTCTCTCTCTCTCTCTCTAATTTTCTACATACATCAACAAATGTACCTACCATCGACCTTCCACCCAACAGATGCCCAAGCCACACACACGCATCGAGACACACCTTCCATACTCGTCCTGACAGTGAGCCAAGGGATGGGAAATGACACACACCCTTTATCTCAATTCCTTTTGAGATAAAAGGATGATGTCATACTTATTTTTCTCTTTCTCTTTTTTGGATTTCTCCAAGACAAGGGGAAATGTCTCAAGATGTGAAATGACGACAGGACCGTATCTACAGGACGCTCCCGTGTGTTCGATTCCGTTGCTCGAATTTCCCGACGAGAGACTTGCGTGAATGTGGTAATAATTTGTCTCGATAATTACATTTATTCATATAATGTGAAATGATCTAATATAAGTAACATTATACAAAAAATACAACTCATTTCGCAAAAGAAATGACGTTTTAATGGCTAAATATAGCAGTATAAATTAGGTTATTCAGCTTGAACCCGCCATAAGGATAAGTTTAAGTGAGTGTGAATATTTTAAGTCGTACCATACTTAGAAGTCCTTATAAGTATCATTATAAGTGAGGTCTGAGCTTTGCATAATTTTATTACGTTTTTATCCTACTGATCCTGATCCTCCTGAAAATGAGATACTGATTATTAGAATATTCTTTTAAAATGAGATTTGATCCTACTTAGAATAATTTTTTTAATGAGTTCTGATCCTACTTAGAACTAAATTTTCATGAGATTCGATCCTGTTAACAATGAGATTTTGAAATCTTACTTAGAATGATTTATTTTAATGAGATTTGAATCCAACTGAGAATGATATTTTTAACGAGTTCTAACCTTACATAGAATTAGAAATTTAAAATGGGTTCTGATCCCATTTTGATTATTTTTTATGGGTTCCGATCCTACTTTGACGAAGAATCTTTTAAAAATGAATTTCTAATCTTTCTCCTGAATCGTTATCGTGAGTTAACATGAGGTTATCGTAAATATAATGCATGAGGTTCGTTTCCGATTCCTTATGAGGTATGTTGTGCTATGTTGATGTATTTTTTAAAGGCTTGAAACTTGCTCTTTGATGAATAGATTAATGATATACGGAATGAATAATTAATGATTGATAATGATAATCAAATTGGATTTATAGACTTTGATATATTTTTTTGGGATCCTTTGACAGTGTAAGCGAAAGGGGGAGATGGAAGAGGAGAATGAAAATAGAAGAGGGAGATAGGAGACAGGGAGGAAGAGGAGGAGAGAGATAGGGGGAAATGGCGTAAGGAGGAGGAGGAGGAATAGGAAGAGGAGGAGGAGTAAGTGAGAAGAAGGAGGGAGACAGGGAGAAAGAGGAGGAGAGATATAGGAAGAAATGGCGTAAGGATGAGGATGAGGAAGAGGAGGAGTAAGTGAAGGAAGAGAGGGAGGAGGAGGAGGAGGAAGAAGAAAGGAAGGGATATAAAAAGAAAGAGAATGAGTATGAGAGAAGGAAGAGGGAGGAGGAGAGGAAGAAAAATGAAAGAAATAGAGAATAGAGGAAGAAGAGGAAGAGAAGGAGGGGAGGAATAACGGGAGGAGAAAGAGAAAGGAAAGAAGGAGGATAGAGAAGGAAGAGAAGGGAAGATAAGAAAGAGAAAGTGTGGAAAGAAGTGTGAAATGCGAAAGGAGAAACAGAAGCGTATGGAAGAGGAAATAAGAATAAGAATAAGAATGAAAAGAACAGTACGAAATAAGAGAGAGAAATATAATAATAATAATGAACAATAATAAAACAAGACGAAGAAGTATATATAGCAGGAAGTGGGAGGAGAAAGAGGAAAGAGAAGAGTAGAGAAAAAGAAAGAAGAAGCAGGAGGAAGAAGAGGAGGAGGAGGAGGAAGGGAAGAAGAAGTAGTAAGAAGGAGGAGAAGAAAAGAAGAGATAAAGAAGAAGTAAGAAAGAGGACAGAGGAGGAAGGAGGAGAAGAAGAAGAAAGAAAAGAAGAAGAGAAGAAAAGAAGAAAAGAAAAAAGAGGAAGAAGAGGAAGGAAGAAGAAGAAGAAAGAGGAAGAGGAGGAGAAAGAAGAAGAAGAAGAAGAAAAGGAAACAGGTACGAAGAAGAAAGAAGAAAGAAGAAGAAGATAAGAGGAAGAAGAAGAAGAAAAAGAAGAAGAAGAAAAGGAAGTACGAAGAAGAAGAAAGAAGAAGAGGAAGAAGAAGAGGAGGAGGAGAGGCATCGACCCGCGGGACCGGACAGGCAGGGTGAGGCCGTCCTGCAGGAAGTGGGAGAACGCCAGCGTGGGTGGGGCAGAATAGGGAGGGGTGAGGAGGGGAGGAGGGAGGGGAGGAAGGGAGGGGTGGGGTGAGGAGGGAGCGAGGGGGAGGGGAGGAGGAAAGAGGAAGGGGGAGGGGAGGTGTAGGGTGAGGATGGGAGGAAGGGGAGGGGAAGGGGAGGGGAAGGGGGAGAATAGGAAGAGGGGTGGGGGTGAGGGGGAAGTATGGGAGTGAGGAGGGGAAGGAAGAGGTATGAAACTGAGATGGATAAGGACTAGATAGATAATAGATAGATAGATAGAACTGATTGATATATATATACTATATATATATAGTATATATATATATCAGTATATATATATATTACTATATATGTGCATATATATTCATATATATAATATATTTTATATATATATTATAGATATATAGCATATAATTATATATATTAGTATATATATAAGATATATATATAATTTGTGTGTGTGTGTGTGTGTGTGTGTGTNCACCTAACAATTTGCTATTTATATTAATATACATAAACACACACAACACACACACACACACACATTCATCTCACGCACACAAACACACCACACACACACACACACACACACCACACACAGTCAACATCACCATATATATATATATATATATATATATATATATATATATTATATGTGTGTGTGTATTATACATTTGTGTGTGTGTTGTGTGTGTGTGTGTGTGTGTGTGTGTGTGTGTGTGTATCTGTGTTTGTATGGGAAAAAAGCATCCCTATTACACATATAATAAGTATCTATATTGTATCAGTCTAAACAAGTATGTAAATTTAGATGCACGTCTGTATCAAATCTGGAACTCAAAAGCAACGAGAACTGGAGGATGAGGAACAGGCCTGCCAACCTTGCGAAGTCGGAGAGAACCAGGATGACAAACGTGTTCCGAGAGACACAGGGGCCGTCTGCCATTCATAAATCTCTTTGTTCAAAGCCAGGGTTTGAGGTGTTTAGACGTGGATAGAAGAGGTGGAGGAGGTGTAGATAGGAAGGAGGAGGGAGGAGGAGGAGGAGGAGGAGATGTAGAAGAAGAAGGAGCAGGGGGAGGAGATGTAGAAGAAGAAGAAGGATCAGGAGGAGGAGATGCAGAATGAGGGGTAGGAAGCGGAGGAGGAGGAGGATAAGATGTAGAACGGGGAGGAGGAGGAGGAGGGAGGAGGAGGATAAGATATAAAGGGGAGAAGGAGGGGTTATGATGATGGAAGAAGAAG